TTATACCGCAAGTGTACGGTGTCAAGTTTTATAATATAGTAATAGAGTAAAGAGTGTCGAACCCACAGGGATTGTAATTTAAATTTCACTAAGTACTATAATTGTGCAATTTTCTACTTTATTTAGACAAAGGTATGATTAAATGGATTTAATGTTTTATGAGTGAATAAATTAAACTAATCTAACGTGAATTGGATGCGACAAAATTGGGGAATACAAATTATCAAATGAGAAGGCCTAGGGATTGACTTCACCTAACTTTCAATTATGATTTAATGATTTCCAATAATTCTATTTAATTTTCCCATATTTAAAAGCAAGAATCCTAATTTATTCCTCTCCCCTCTCTCGAGTGCCGGCTAGAAAAAAATCCTAGATTCCAATTCCAATATCTCTATTCCGAATTGAAAATCAAGAATTTATAAAAGTCCCGATTCTTTTATGGAGTAAGCTTCACAGATTCTACACTTTCTCTCGAAACCCATAAAACCTATGTTGTGTCAATCTTATGGTCACGCCTAAATTCCCCTCTCTCGAGTGCTAGAATTGACTAGTATCTATTCATTCAATTATTGATCAAGTAATTGAAAGCATTAAAATCATGACACAATTAAATATATGTGGAAAATCAAAGAAATAATTATAAAATCATCAAACCATACTCGATTCGGCTACATCAAACCCGTAGATAATTTGTTTAGTTCACGATATAATAAATGAAAATCATACAAATTATAATAAACAATATAAGGAAAAGGATAGAAAAAAATTAGTCTTTTGGGTAGATCTTCAATCTTTTTCCTTAATATTGTTCCTTCTTCCTTTTGATGTCTTCAATTTTTGCCTCCTTCAAATTGTGTGGTTGAATTCTTCAATCTTGCCCCCTTCCATCTCTCCTTGAAAATAGGGTTTTTAAATGGTATTTATAGTATGTTGGGGTTATTGGACGAATTAGGGTTGAGTTGGGCCAATAAAAGATTCCAAAAATATAAAATCCCGTTTTTCCGCACAGGCGGCGCCATGGCGCCACATTCACTGTTGTTTTCAGCATCTTGGGCGCCATGGCGCCCACTTCGGGTGGAAAAGGCCGTTTTCGCCTCCTTCAATATTTTTGCCATAACTTCTTCATCCGATGTCCGATTGAAATGATTCAAGATGCGTTGGAAAGGTAACTCAAAGGGCTATAATTTTCTTCAAACATCATTTCAATTCGATCGTTTGCTATGTCAGAAATAGGTCTCAAACTCCGGCGCGTAACTTTTCGGTTGAAAAATGATTTGTGATCATATTTTGATTAAATTTGATCCCTTTGACACCTTCCTTCATCCAATTGACTCCTAGCACTCTTGGATCTTCATCGTGAGTTTCGACACAACTTTTGATTAATTGCATTTTAATCCTCGAACTCTGGATCTCTTACATTTTGGTCATTTCATCTAATTTCGCTAACTTTTGCCTATTTCCTACCTTTGGCCTCTTTGAGCTCTTGTTTTCTCCACTTCCATCAATCTACAAAACAACACCAAAATCACTTGTTAGCACTTCTAAAATACTCTCCAAGATAACAAAATCATGAAATTAATGGTATAATATAATAAGTGTAAATCACTCATCAAACACCCCCAAACTTAATCTTTTGCTTGTTCTCAAGCAAACACCAAAACCAATAAAAATAATTAATGGACACACGAGCACAACTAAGACAAACAAAATCACTTAAAATAAATTTCGCTATATAGCTTGCCTTCATGTCTCAGGATTAAAAACATAACTTCGATTCCATGAATCACTTCAACGCTATACAATAATAAGTTGACCCAATTCCCGACCTTAGAAGTCAAATTTTTCCTTACTTCGCTCGTGGGATTCACCCACCCCCAAACTTATTTTCTTTTCTTTTTCCAAGGGTGTAACCTAAGGTTAAATTTTTAATACTAATTTCTTACACCACTCAAGTTTGGTTAGATTTTACTGAGTGTAGTTCCACATGTCAACGAATGAGGATTCTCCTTATTTTTTACTGCTTTAACCTCTAGGAATCAACCAAGTTACTAACCTCTTATCAAAGGTCTAATCCTCTAAAACAAGTGATCGGGGCTTAATCAATGCATTTGATATCTATTTTTTTCTCTTTTTTTTTTTAAATTTTTTTTCATATATATCTTTATTCTTTAATCACTCTTTGTGCGGATGTCTCTCCCTTAAACTTTCTAAATGACCCCTTGTTGCGAGTTTTAGGCCGATGACTCCCAAATTAGATGACTTTAGGGCACCAAGTTTTAAACCCTTACAGGCATAATCACTCGAGTCATAAAGGTTACGAAGAGACGAATCACAATGAGATTATTAAAGTTGTCCTCATTGGGATCTTTTTTTTTATGCTGCGATTAGTGCAATGCCCCTTATTAAACACCTATCCTCAAAAATCGACCTCTAACTTAAGGTTTTCACCCAATTTTCATCCCATTAGTCTCAGACAATTCACACAAAAACTAGCACACATAGAATCCACATTTATCTCCAAATTTCCTTATAATAACTTAATCTACCAAACATCCTATATTTGGTTCAAGGTATAATAATGTTTAAAGGTTGTTTGGGTTTAGCATCTAAGTTCTCTAATCCAACATATAAACATGAATCAACCTACTCATGTACAACGCTACAATCAACTCACGTGTAAAAATAATTTTCGTTTCGCATGAATAAGCAAAAATCTAACTCAAACACATAACTCGTCCACAATTCATAAATCAACGCATTTCTCAATTACACATATCAATTCCGGCAAGGTTATCTAACATACACAAGCATGCAAAAACACGAAAAGAAATTTTTTTTTTTTAATCAATGCATACAATTAAGAAATTAAAAACAAAACACACAAATAAAATAAAATAATTTTTTTTTTAAATGCACACAATTCACACAATAAAAAAAATTAGGGAATTCTAGACAATTTATAATATACTCTCCCCAAACTTAAACTAAACATTGTCCCCAATGTTAAATTAAAAGAAAATGAGGAGGACTTCCCTGAATTGTCTGAATTGCCAATGACGATTTGTGCTCTGACGTTGAATTTGATGGACGCTTCTTCTAACTTTTACCCCCAAACTTAAGATTTTTCATGTTCTCCTCGTCAAAGTTGGTATGATTATTCTGCGGCGTCATGTTCCTGAAAAAACAAATTTAGATATTAAATATATGGAACAAGTGTTACTTAGCTCAAACATCAAATAACCAACTTGACTACTTATAAACCTAAGGGAAGATGGGATATGGCTGATGAATTCCTAAATATAAATTATAAAATAACTGAAATATCATATTAATCAAAAATAGAAAACGATATAAAAATAAAAATAAAATAAAACACTTGGGTTGCCTCCCAAGAAGCGCTTCTTTATAGTCATTAACAAAGAAGGCTTTTGATGCCCTGTCCATTTTTCTTCTTTTGACTTTGCTCCACTCTTCGTTGTTTCTCTAGATCTCGTACTTGTCCTTTTCAATGTAATAGGATCTTTTTAGGCCATCTGATTCAAACTTAACAATGTAGACTTCAACTTCTTATTCGAACTTAATCACAAAATCAATTTCTCTAACATCAATGAATGATAAAAACGAATTTATGTTGCTTTTATCTTCATTGATTTCTACATCTTCGTTTGGTTCCTTTGTGATCAAGTTGTCTTTCACTTCAGGCTCTTCTACGATCGTTGAAATTTCTTCGGATTGACCGATTGATCCACATTCAAGATCCACAAGCAACGAGGAATCTTTCTTTTTAATCCCTTCGAGTGGATTGTATTTCCACCTTTTCAATTCATTCCAGTAACTCCAATCTCCAATCGATATTTTGCTCTCTTCCAAATTGGCCAGTTTATTGTAGTACTTTGCAATCACCCTCTCATTCAACATAGGAGGACCTTTTCCCGTAAGTATGATGTCCTCATCCCAATCGTCAGGTGCATAATCTTCCAAAGGCATATAGGCTTCATCAGAGTTGTCAATCGCTTTTTGTCGACATTTTAAATAATGTATAAACCTTACAACCTTTATTGTATGGGGGTTCATAGGTGTATGCCAACAGAACTCGGTGTAATGCATCTCCCAGCAAATCTGACAGAAGACATTTTCTACAACAACGTCATTTGTATCCATGTTGAGATTACTTATTTCAATTGCTATGCTCTCTTGCCAATGTTGGAAACATGCATATATTATTGAGTAGTTCCTGGAAAGAACACCAAAAATGATCAGGGTGGATAGCCAAAATTAACAAAAAAAAATCTAAATTAAAATAGAAATTACTTGGTAATAATATTAGTAAAAATTAAATTCTACAATCCTCGGCAACGATGCTAAAAACTTGCCACACGTTTATATAACGTGATTTTATACTGCAAGCGCACGGTGTCAAGTTTTGTAGTATATTAAAGAATTGAAAAGTGTCGAACTCACAGGGATTGATATTCGACTTCCACTGAGTACTATAATTGTGTCCGCGTTCACTTTATCTAGACAATCGAGTGTTAAATTGATGCTTGAATACTAAACTAACGTCAATGAATTAAATAGTGCAATAAAAGTGAGGCAATTTCTAAAGACTAAATCAAAATTACGTAATGTCTAGGGAGTGATTTCACCGTATTCTCGACATAATTCTCAATCCCTATAGATATTTCCATCAACTATTTCCCGAATTCATAGGCAAGAATCCTAAATTAATTCTATTTCCCCCTCTCGAGCGTCAAATAGTATCTCTATATTTTAACCCCAATATCTCTATTCCGAATTAAATATATAAAAATTATCATGCACTTGGTTCTTGTTTTACCCTCAAAGATTCGTACTTTCTCTCGATACCTACAAACCTAGGTTATATTGTTCTTAGATAACGCCTAAATTTTCCTCGAGCGTCAAATTTAGAACATCAATTCATTCAATTGGTGATCAGGCAACTGAAAGCATTAAACAAGAACAATACAAATCAATTCTGGAAAATTAAATGAAAATACTATAAAGAAATTAAATCATGTCTCAAATAGGTTACATCAAACCCTAGATTTAATAGTTTAGTCAATGATTGAGAGGAAAAACACAATTAAATACAAACTAGAGTGCATGTATAAGAGAAAGATAGAAAAAACTCAAGTTGCTGCTCTATTTCTCAATCTTATTGCTTGATTTCTCAGTTTTCTCCCTTCTTCTTCTCCAAAATCGGGTCGATCTTCTCTCTATTGGTGCCTCTCTTTTTCTTGCCTCTTCCGCCGTCAAACCCCCTTTTCTTGTTCTTCATCTTGGTATTTATATTTTCTAAGAGTCTTCAAGGGTTAGGGTATGATTTTTTTGGGCCGAAAAGATAATTAAAAATTTGGAATTTAACATTTTGGGATTTGGCGCCACGACGTCCAAGCATGGCTCCATGGCGTCGTGGCGCCAGAGTCTGCGTTGGGCACCATGGCGCCACGGTGCCTAAGTTTCTGCTTCCTTCTTGTCCTCATTTGGGCGCCATGGCGCCCAGTTATGGCGCCGTGGCGCCTAAGTTTCTGCTTGAATTCATCGCTTTTTCTGCGCCGTTGTGCCAATGCCACTACTTTGCTTCTCTTCACTTTGTTTTCCAAGCCTATTTTCCACTTTAATCTTATTCAATACTTGCTTATTCATGCTCCATTTCATTGATCATCATTTTTGCTCATCACCGGCTCCCAATAGTGGTATTTTCTCGAGAGTTGTCCAAACTGCAAAACAACACGAACACACACATCAAAACGTTCAAAAATGCTCAAGAACACATCAAAAAACGTGATTTAGAAGCTTTAGTTTAATGAGTGAATTACACTCATCAATCCTCATCTCTATAAATGTATTTGTGTATTCTTTCTTGTTCAAATGAGGACAAATTGATTTGATATGACAATATTGTCACAGAAGAGAAGGCACGTGATTCTGAAGAACCACCATGCCCGCAAGATACACAAGTTGAAGTTTGAACAGGCAGCGTTTGTTATAGGCATTATTCGACAGAAGGCCTTTGAAAACACAGCGCGCTGTGCACTCAGGTAAATACGAGAAGCTGAAAAAACTTCTCTCTGAAGAACTATTCGCGAAGTTTTGTTTATGGAATCTATTTGCAGTGTGAACATTGGGTTACCAAGACTGGTTTGCAAGGTTTTATGATGCATTTTAGTATGTATCATCAACTTGAGCAGTTTAAACTGCACAACTAAACGCTGGTTTTTGGTTTATTCATTTATACTTTCTTGGTGGATATTTACTTGTGCTTTCTTCTTAATTTTTTTATTTTATTTATTTTTTTATTTTTTTTTCTGTTCTTTGTTATAATCCATTACTTTTTATAGGGATTTATTTGTATTATTAGTAAAATATTTTTATTTTCCTACTTTTTGGTTTTTTTTGGTTCTACCATATTTTAATTTTTGAATATTTATTCTCAACTTGGTACTTGATTCAAATGAAATTTTTAATAGCATTTGGTTCAACTTTCATTGAAGAATAACTTATGTTCCCTCCATCCCATTTATATAGGTTTAGTTTCCTTTTTTCTTAGCCCAAATATATAGTCTTGTTTCTTAATTTAAAATATTTTGTTTTGTTCCTTTATTAATATACCCTTATTTAATTTGCCTAGTTACAATCAATTTTCCCACTTAATTTTCCTATTTCTTGAAACCAATTTTTAAATTCTTTACTAGTTCCAACAATAATTTACTATTAGTTGTTGAAAATTAAATATAGGTAAACTAGAAAATTTCTTTACAAAAATTACTTTTTCAATAATATTAAATAAGATTTCTTAATTCGTATTAAAAACAAAATAAGCGCATATAAATGGAATGGAGGGAGTAATTCTTTTATCCCATGTGCAGTCGTTTTGTTTTGGATCTTTCCTAAATTGTAGAATTAAATATGAAGGATTTACATAGTGGATTTTAAATTGGGAAAATTGCAGTCAAGGTATCAAACCTTTCGTTTATTAGCAGACTTTGACGAAATCTTTAGTTTGTGCCACCGTGAGTATCAAACCTTTAAAAATGTGCAGCTCAAGTCTAAATTGACAATTTCCATTAGTTTGACTCCAAAAATCGTCAGTTGACCCCAAAAATTAAAAATTTAATAATTTGAACACATAAGATAGGAGCATTTTGGATAAAACACATTTTTTTCAATTACATCAAAAATTTAAAAAAAATAAAAATAAATAAAACCACAACCCATCTCTTTCTTCCCCAAATCAAAATCACTCCTCCCAACCACCAAAACCAACCGGTAGCCACCACCACCCATTTCTCTCGAAACCTTAAGCTCCACAAAACCAAAATTTGTAAATTCAAAATTTCTGGGTATATAGAACTTACATGATCTTAGCCAAGCCAATCCAACAAATTCTCTCAAAATTAGTCTTCAATCCCCATTACCAACGGAACCCGGAGCAAAGTCAATGAACTTTAGCTAAAACAAGTACCCTTCTATGATTAATTTAGCTTAAAGCAACAAAATTTTCCAATGGGATGGGTACGGGTGGGGCAACGTGGCTCAGCAGCAGCAGAACCAAACTTTAGAAACTGGTTTCATCTGTGAATTCTTGGAATCATAGAGAATGCCAAAAGCATGACTTTACATGTGTGAATACTGCTAAATCAGTTTAAAAGAAAGAATGCTTGTGCAGCTGTAACTAGAAGCAGAAAAATTCAAAGAAATGGGTGGTTGTGGCTGTCGGCGGGGAATGTGGTGGTTGAAAGGAGTGGTTTTGATTTGGGAAAGAAGGAGATGGGTTGTGGTTTTATTTATTTTTGTTTTTTTAAATATTTAATGTAATAGGAAAAATGTATTTTATCCAAAATGTCCCGTCTTATGTGCTTAAATTATTAATTTTTTAATTTCTAGGGTCAACTGACAATTTTTGGAGTCAAACTAACGGAAACTGTCAATTTAGATTTGAGTTGCACATTTTTTAAAAGTTTGATAATCACGATAGAACAAACTAAAGGTTTGGACAAAATATACTAATAAACGAAAGGTTTGGCAATTTTCCCTTTTAAATTTATAATTTGTTGTTTTGACAGTGCCTTGATTTCCGTCCTTGAATTTTGAAGGTGTTTGGTAGGTGCAGTCCATGTCAGGCTTGGCCTAAATTTTTTTTTTTCCATTTTTTTTTTTATCAATTGATTTTTTGGGGAAAAAAATAATAATAATAAGAAAAGAAAAAATAGTTCGAACTGAGGGCTAGAGAGCTTGGGCTAATCTATGAATCTCTCTAGAATCAGTTCACGTTTGCACTCGAGTCAAGTTGTGAAGAATTTATAAATAAATAAAAATAAATGATAGATAAATGTATAGTATTTGTGGATCTATTGAAGTTATATGTAATTAATTATGAAATTTAACCATTTATAAGACGAACATTTAACTTCCCAATTCCACTCAGGAAAATTGATGATTCGTCTGTGGATAAATGAAATGATAGGCATCACATGAAACCATTATTTAATGACGTGGAATAAATACAATTTCAACGAAATAAATGTCATCATTTATCATATTATCAATTTTCGTCAATTCAAGTGACAAATTGAAGAGATATACCCAATTGAAATCAATTTAAAGCATAGTTACCCGACTGAATAAATTGAAGTATAGTTACTTAATTGACACTAGAATGACATATAGTTATGGAGTAGAATTTATCCTATCTATATGAATTTCAAGAAACAATGAATTCGTTTCTGGTTATTACAATTAACTAGCTCTTTAATAGTGTGTGTGTGTGTGTAATATTCTAAAAATTTATAGTATTAATTATTTAGTGGTGAGGCCTTTGATCTAAGCATATTTTGATAATATTGAAATGTTGAGAGACAAAAGTGAAATAGCATTAAGCTCAATTTTGTTTTGACCAAATTATTACATTTTGATAGAGCGAATATAAGTATATCGATATTTGGCTCATTGTGTAGATTGTAATTAATTAAGAGTTTTTTATTCTAAAAAAAGTTGTTTCGAATAAAATCATATTAGGATAAATCCGATTAAAAAATATAAAGTTAAATGAAATTTAAAGGAATTGAAATATAATCTAAAACCCATTTTCCTCCTTTTTAGTCCAGGGACGTGTGTTGATAATTATGAGTTTGATTATAAAAAATGTTACTTGAAATTTTAATTTAATTTTGATAATGGTGATCTTCTTTGTGATTTGGATAGAGTTTAATAGTAATCTTAATTTGATAAAATTTAATAGTAATCATAAATCTATTATTTAAAATCAATTCTTATTGAAATTGCTTGTATTACACAGTTTTTTAATTTTAGTTACATACAAATTCAATTAAAATTTTAACTATAATTACTGCAAGAATTCTCATTAATTCACCACAAGAAATAGAGAGAGCCATGGTAGACAGAAAGAGAAGAAAAGGAATTAAAAAAAAAAAAAGGAGGATTTTTGTGTGCAATGTTTTATTCTTTTCAATCTTTCAAAATCAAGGTAAAATAATTATATACAAGTGGTTTGTTTTCGTGTACCTTTATGTATTCAGTCGTTTATACATGAATTACTACTGGACCTTCGAGTTCTTTAGAAAAATACATGAAATTCTAAAAGATACAAGTGTTCAAATTGATTGTTATATAATTGTGTATGAAAACTGTACTTATCTTATAGGGTGTTTTTAAATACCCACTCTTACAATAGCTTTTAAAAGTTAGTTCGGATCGATTGGATTCGTGGCAGAATGGTGATGTGGGCTGTCAATAGATTGAAGAAAAATAAGCACTAAATTTTTCTATCTTTCAATCTATTAGTTTAATTTGTTCAAAGACATGTTATTCAATTAGCATGGTGATTAATTTTTATTTTTTTTTAAGATACAATTTCACGTATTAATTTAAATCTATGAATATTCTAGTTATATTTTTATAAAGAAAATTATTTTTATCGTTCTACATTTAACATAAAGAAAAGTAAGTTTTTGGTAACACTCTAGAGTTTATGAAAATTTGGAATGTTACAGTTTGGTATCAAAGCCTATATTTATCTTTTTGTAGATTTTTTTTATTAGTTTCAAATAAATAAGTTTTAATAGAAATTTGCCAATTTGAAAATTATATTTTAAGAGACGTCTAGTTTAAACTTATTCTTTGAGTTTTCTTGATTTTCGTCTTCACAAAATTGAAAGGTTTTGTCAAAAAAATCTAAACTGTTTGGGATTTAAGTGCCCCACATGTGACCTCCTCATTATCTGAAAGCATTTTGGTTGCTCGTTATTCAAATCGACAAGACAAAAAATAATATTTAAAATCATTTCAAGTTAAGAAAATTCTATTTTTAGAAACTTCTTTTCTTTTTCTTTTTTTAAAAAAATCTATTTTAAGAAATTTCTAATAAAAAATATAAAAATACATTATTTTTCATAAACATTAGGAGTTTAAAGACAAATGTAAAATTTTTAAGATCTTAAACATGTAATGAGATAAAATAAAAATTAAAAAAAAAAAATCATTGGTACACGACGCTCGCTATTCGATCACTCTCCAATTGATCCCAGTTATAAAATATAATGTTATATTTTTAACATGATTACGAGTCAACTTACTTCGTGTCATGAAATGTATAAACATGTTTACCTCGCATAATTAATCAGTAGAAAATTTTTCACATTTTTTATGAATATTGTTCATGAGAATATGAAATGAGATAGATTGTTAATAAAAGATTAAATATAATTGGATCTAGATGTGTCAGACATAATTAGAGCATTTCAAATGCACGAGAGGTTGTACATTTACGAATTTCATTTTTTAAGGAGGGGAGTTTGTAATATTCCAAATTTTTATAGTATAGAATTATCTAGTGGTAAGGATTTTGATCTAAGCATATTTTGATAATATTGAAATGTTGAAGGACTAATGAAATAGTATTAAGCTCAATTTTATTTTGATCGAATAATCAAATTTTGATAGAGCGAGTACAAGTATATCGGTATTTAACTCATTGTGTAGACAGTAATTAACTAGGAGACTTTAGTTCAAGAAAAGTTGTTTTGGATAAAATCATATCGGGATAAATCCTATTAAAAAATGATGTTAAATGAAATTTAAAGGAATTTGAAATATAATCTAAAACCCATTTTCCTCCTTTTTTTAGCCTAGCCACGTCTATTGATAATTATGAGTTTAATTAGAATATATGTTAATTGAAATTTTAATTTAATTTTGATGATGGTAATTTTTTGTGATTTGGATGGAGTTTAATTGTATTCTTAATTTGATAAAGTTTAATGTAATCATAATTCTAATATTTCAAACCAATTCTTATCCAAATTTCGTGTATTAAACAATTTTTCAATCCAAGTTGCATGCAAATTCAATTAAGAATTTCAACCATAATTACTATTGTACTGTAAGAATTCCCATTATTTCACCACAAAAAATAAAGAGAACCATAGTAGAGAGAGGGAGAGAGAGGAAAAAGTATAAAAAATATAATAGGAGGATCTTTATGTGCAAGATTTTATTCTTTTCAATATTTCAAAATCAAGGTAAGTTTTCGTATACCTTTATGTATTTGGTCGTTTATGCATGAATTATCAATGGACCTTCGAGTTCCTTAGAAATATATATGAAATTCTAGAAAAATTTAAGATAATCTAAGATAGGTGTCTCTTGGTCACCGGTATACTCCATAAGAAAAGAGTAGTATAAAGTATTTAAATTTATTGTTATATAATTGTGTATGAAAATTGAACGTATCTTACTTAGTGTTTTTAAATACTCGCTCTTACAATAATTTTATAGGTTAGTTCGCATCAATTGGATTCATGGCATGATGGTGATGTGGGCCACCAGTAGATTGAATTAAAATAAACACCAAGTTTTTCTATCTTTCAATTTACTAGTTTAGTTTGTTCAAAGACATATTATTTAATTAACAAAGTAATTATGTCTTTTTTTAGGATATAATTTCCATGTATTAATTTAAATCTATGAATATTCTAGTTATTTTTTCAGAGAAATTTATTTTTATCGTTCCGCGTTTAAAAAGAAAAGTAAGTTTTTTGTAACACTCTAAAGTTTATTAAAATTTGTGATGTTCCAATGTTTATATTAGACAAGAAAACAGAAGGGATAATTTTGGGAACATTGCAAAGCCTCGCTATTTTATTTTATTTTATTTTATTTTTTTTGGGTGGGGGTGGTGGGGGTGGAGATAGTCAAACTCCACAATCTTTGGGATCGAAGAATTGTCTTATTTTCTTATTCAATAATTCTAACTTTTCTTTGTCAATTGCTAACACATGCTTCGAATAAGATTGAACAAAAACACTAATAACCTATTCTGCATGCATATGATATAATTCATTATAGTTTTATCCAGTTAAATCTATCGAAGGCATTGTAAAAATGATTATTGATCAGAATATAAGACAACGGTGAAAAAATGATTCCATAATTTAAGTTTGTTTATATTTCTATAGTAGTTAAAGCTTTGAAATATTATTGATGATTTTCTTATTTTAGAAACAAATTTATTTCTATTGTAAAATAATGGATAATAATGAAGAACTAATTTGTATTATCTAGAAGTCTATACTTTATAAGAGTGTATTATATTCAGGGCGTATTTGGGAGCCATTAATTTTGGCCAGAAAATAATTATGTGACCGCTGGCAATTATTTGTCTAACGCACCATGTGAAGTACACAGAGACAACAGTTGTATCTTTTCCATAAACTGCCCTTTTCAAGAGGTTTTAGACA